TTTAAAAAGGAGCCTAGAAAGAAGCAGTAGATTGCTCACCCTATAGACACTTGGACGTAAGGCACTTCAAGAAACGCGGAGATAACAGGTCGTGATTTATTACCAGTAAGTGGATTGAGGACCTGCTAAACAGTGCTCAGAAATAATGGTGATATAACTAAAAGCTAAAGATAGGTTGGCTCTATCATTTAGAAACAGCACATTTAAACATACTGTGATGTAAGATACTGGACCACATCAATTTTTTATAGCACTATACTGTCCAGGTTTTCCACGGTATATGGTGATTTGACCATATTTTCCATAGCAATGGTACTCTAGTATCTTGAAATGGGGAAGGAATCCCCCATGATAAATTTTGCTGAACAATAGCATATTACCATAATACCTCTGAAGCCTACAGTGGGGGGTGGAGTTTAGCTAGGATTAGCATTGTACAAAGTTCTGGGGGTTTCTGGAAGACTCTTGCTAAACTAGCTGTCATGTGCAGGTCCATATGCCACCTTGAGTGACCTCTTTCTGCACAAGCACCTTCGCCAGTTAATTGGCGATATCACTAATGAAATCTCCAGGACCCAGTCTGTGTGGAAGAGTCTCAGCATCTTGTCAGTTTTTATCCCCCTACCATCCCTCGCAGATGAATCCCACCATTTTAAAGTTATCCCAATGATTCTCTGACTCATAGATAAAATGCTGCACCAGGGCTATCTAACCCTCCGAGACGTAAAGTTACTTTGAGAAAAATACTTACCCTGAAATACCACAGTAAAATGCCCAGCTGGATAAATGGATAAAAATTGCAAATGGTTGTGGATTAAAAAGTGAAATACAGAACTACTATATATGTACCTTAACCTTTCCCGCTGGAGTTCTACTGAACCAATAATCTCCGTCACCTTTATTTAAGTGCCTTTCTTAATTACCATCAGTTAGGAGGGTGAGTGCACCCCCCAGAAGCAGATCATTAACAATGATGTATAACAGAAACTGGATTGGACCTCTCCAGGCCCAACAGAATATGTTCAGAGAAGAACTGCAGGCTACTGGCATGGCAATGTGCCAGAAATGATTCGACAGGCCTGTTATTCTCCCTGTAAGAGTTTTATGAATGTTTTTGGAAATAATGGAAAACTCTTTATTGAACAAAATGATTTATCTTATGGTCAATTTCCCTAGAGGGATGTACAATATGTCTGCTAGCAAGTCACTGTTTTTGTTAGATTATTTAAATTGCTTAATTTACACTTTTACTCAAAATAATTCACAGGGTGTACAAGAAGCTCAGGTACCTGTTCAGAGGAGCATCATCAGGGTTACATCTGGGACATTAAGCAGCAACCCATCCAATAAAGGGAGCTGATTATGAGAAAGACCTTGGTGTGTATGTTGATGCTTCCATGTCCCACTCTCGCCATTGTGGGGAAACAATAAAAAAGGCCAATAGGATGTTGGGTTACATCTCTAGGTGTGTGGAGTTTAAGTTAAGGGAGGTGATGCTATGATTATATAATTCCTTGGTAAGACCTAGAATATTGTGTGCAAGTTTGGTCACCATACCTTAGAAAGGGTGCAACGTAGGGCTACGAGAATGATTCCTGGTCTTAGAGGAATGTCTTATGAGGAGAGGTTAGCTGAGCTGAATCTGTTTAGCTTTGAGCAAATGAGACTAAGGGGGGACATGATCCAGGTATATAAGATTCTAACAGGTCTGGATGCTGTTCAACCAAATGGCTATTTCAATATTAGTTTAAATACTAGAACTCATGGCCATAAGTGGAAATTTGCGGGAGAACATTTTAAAATGAATTTGAAGAAGCACTTCTTTACACAGCGTGTAGTTAGAGTATGGAATAGTCTTCCTGCTAGTGTAGCACAAGCTAAAACCCTGGGTTCCTTTAAATCAGAGCTAGATAAGATTTTAACAACTCTGAGCTATTAGATAAGTTCTCCCAGAATGAGCTTGATGGGCCGAATGGCCTCCTTTCATTTGTAAATTTCTTATGTTCATAACTTTGCCTAGATTCTAAAATTTAGTGGAAAAACCTGTACCTGTACTTAAAATACACCATTTACACAGATTATACTGTTAGTATGAAAAACCCTGAACCTGGTCTGCATTTCATATAGCCAGGCACTCAGAACCCAGAACCTTGTTTGCATTTCATATGCCAATGTACAGAGAACCCAGAACCCCATCTATATTTCATATTCCAATGTACGCAGAACCTCATCTCTATTTCATATGTCCATGCAGGCAGAACCCAAAACATCATTTGCATTTCAAACACCCATGTATGCAAAACTCATCTACGCATTTCACACATCTATATAAGCAGAAACTACACTTTTATCCACATTTCATATTTCTATTTCGACAGAACCCAGAATCCCATCCACATTTTACATCCCAATGTAAGGCAAAACCCACAATCTCATCCACATTTTATATCCTCATGTATGTAAAATGTCATCTGCATGTCATATTCCCATGTACGTGGAACCCATCTGTATTTCATATGCTCATGTACGCAGAACCCAGAACTTTGCCTGCATTTCATATATCCATGTACACAGAAACCAGAGTTTCTTCTGCATTTTATGTATCCTTCCGCACAGAAACCAGAACCTCATCTGCATTTTATATACCCATGTACACAGAACCCAAAACTTAATCTGCATTTCATATATCCTTGTACACAGAACCCAGAACATCATCTGCATTTCATATGCCCATGTCCGCTTATGGCACAAATCTTTTTACTCCTTTTTAGTCTTATTATTACCCATGTGATATGTTCTTCTACTTTGGAGGGGGACTCTCTTGATGGCAGCTGCCCTCAGGCAGACCTTTTGCAAGACAAAAATACAGGCTGTTTAAATATAGAAATGTGTGATACTTGCTACCACATTTTACACGTTAAGGCACTAATAAAGCAAATTCCATTGTCTGACGGTATATAGCAAAGTGATTTCCTTCAGTCTCACCAAACTGCTTCCTTGTATTCCTTGTAAGTCTTCAGAAACAGTAAGACTCTAAGTGTCAGCTGCCCGAGAGAATAACAGTGACCTTTCAGAGAGACATCCCTGTTTGCAGGTGCAGACATTGTGACCAGGCGTGGAAGCTGACATTTTTCTCTTTAAGAAGTGAAAGGTGCAAATTACTTTTGAGAGAACTTTGAGTAATCAAGCATACCAGACTATTTTTGTTACTTATACCGGATGTAAAGTAACCAAGTGTAATTCCATGTATTGATGTAACAATTTGAGAGATCTCATATACTCAGGCATACTCTTCATCCATCTTCCAACTGTTTTTCATGGTCGTGGTCACTGGAGTATCTTGGGTCTATTCCAGGCAGGAGAACACCCCAGTTGGACTGCAAACCCATCACAGGGCAAATATACCCAAACACACAATTTGAAGGAGGGAGGGGACGGCTCAGAAGCAACTGGAGGAATCCCACACAATCTGTGGAGCAGGGATGAGAATCAAACCCCACCATTAGAGCTGTGAAGCAACAGCGTGCTACCTACTGAGCCACCCTCCATACAATGCCAGAACAAAGAATTGCCATTTTAATGATATTATCTCCTATGTTTCTACATTAAATCTGCTATTATAATTGCGAGACAGACGTATTCCTGCATCCATTAATATTTAACATGGTTAATTAATCTGCCAGTGACTATGATTTTTACGGCGGTACTGCTGCACACACGCTTTATTCTACAAAACAGCAGTTGCCCAGGAGACTCCAGCCCGTTTGGATTTACAGCGCATCTGAACTGAGGGCTGACCTTGATGGAAATGAAACGTTTTAGAGTTTCTGTGAACACCCTGTCTTAGGTCTAAAGTGATGCATTATGCATGCAGTCCATTATTGATGAACTCGGGTGCTGTTACAGCTAGAAGGAGCTCTCACGTGTGTTTTCTGTTGTACATCTATTGCATTTTAAAGACAGTTGCAGATTTTCGCGAATATTGAAGCCTGTGGCTTTAAAACTTGAAAAAAATTGGCGAATGAGAAAAAACGTCTTTGGTATCTGCTCTCTACAATCTGGCAGCCGAGGCTTTATTTATAAACACTGGTGCTCTCTCTGTTTCACAAGTCCCTGCTTTGCTGTAAAATGTGAATATTGAGACTTTATAATAAGGAAATGCGATTCAAAGTAAACGATTTGTCAGAACATTAGCACGATAGCCAGAAAGAACAGGGATTGTAAATCAGCGTGATGGATTTTTTTTGTCACTGCAGTTAAAACCATCATGTGTCTATGGTATTAAAGCTGACAGCAATACTAAAATAATCCGTAAATAAACTGAATGTATGTGGTTTAAGGTGCTGATGCATATATATTAACACAGCTATCCAAGGGGACTAATAAGAGCAAACTGGAAAATGATTGCAATATTCACTGTACAGCTTTTTTGCTATTTAGTTCTTGCAGCATTCTATTCTTATACACTTACATATGCATTTTTTACTTTTTAATCTTGTTTTTGGTTTACTTTGAGAGTAACATTGCAAGCAGTATGATTTTAAAAATGCAGTGTATGACTAGGAAGTCATAGACTGTCGTTCTGCCTAGCTCGTCAAATTTCATACATTTCTTCCTGCTCCGACTTTCGTTTTTATTTACGTTTATATCGTTTTATTCTTTCATATGTGTTGAGAGGGACTGTATTATATTTCTTGGATGTGATCTTCATTTTAGTCCTTGTGTCCGGCATGATGTTTGATATTTAAAATAGTCAGGTGATCCCCATATCTTAACTCACAGCACACGAGAAGTTACGCTTTTCCCTCACCATTTTGGTATAGTGACATTTGCACGTTAACAGAGCCTTTATAGGCAAGCGGAAGATAAATTGAAATTCCCCAGTTGACGGTTTCGGTGTGTCATTCAAGAGCTGTCGCTACGGCTTATTGGTTACACAACATGCTTGATTTGCATATCCCCGCCTCCTCCTGCAAATTGCTCTGCAGCGTATGATGCAGTCTAGTTTTTGCAGTGCGCTCCGGAGGTTCACCGCGTTAAGTTAAGAGACGTAACAGACTGATTTTTTTTTTAGAAAAGAAACGAGAAGATATGCAAGAATAATAACGAAAGTGTTATATTGCATCTGTTTTCATCGGCAGTGGAGTTCGGAATATACCTTTTGCGATTAAAAAATATCTCTGCCTTGGCAGGGGAAGCTGGGAAGGAAGCGCTGGTGTGTGAGAAAGGAACGGTTTGTTGCATTTATTTCCAAGCACTCATACAGTATGAGGTGCAGCTATGGCAAGAAGGGGTAAGACAGTAGTGAGGACCCTGGAGGATTTAACGCTTGATTCGGGTTATGGTGGTGCTGCAGACTCCTTCAGGTCGTCCAGCTTGTCATTGTGCTGCTCAGAGACGCATCTTCCCTACGCACATGGAGGGAATTGCTGGCATTTAACTGACTCCATGCACAGTCGACACAACAGCTTGGACACAGTCAACACCGTCCTGGCAGAAGACACCGAGATCCTGGAGTGCTCCGGCCAGTGCGCTAAGCTACCCGAGCTTGAAGATGTACCCTGGAGTCTCGGGGAGATGGAGAACGCGATCAAGAAGGATGAAGAGTTACGCGTGGGGAATATTTCTAAGGAGGTCCTGGCCAAGCTCTCCGCGCTGGTCAGCCGAGCGCTGGTTAGGATCGCCCGGGAAGCGCAGCGCCTGAGCTTGCGCTACGCAAGATGCACGAAATATGAGATCCAGAGCTCCATTAAGGTGGTTCTGTCCTGGACCATCTCCGTCAACTGCATCACGGCGGCACTCAGCGCCCTGTCGCTGTACAACATGAGCACAGGGGACCGCTACAGCCGCGGCAAGTCGGCACGATGTGGTCTCATCTTCTCGGTGGGGAAGTTCTTCAGGTGGATGGTTGACAGCCGGGTGGCGGTGAGGATCCACGAGTATGCAGCCATTTACCTCTCTGCATGCATGGAGAGCCTCTTCCGTGAGGTGTTCCGCCGGGTCTTGCACAGCGCCGCGGTGGAGAAAGACAACGGGATCCCGAAGTTAACTGTGGAGTCCTTGGAGCAGGCGATCAACAACGACTCTGAGCTTTGGGGGATGCTGCAGCCCTATCAGCACCTCATCTGTGGCAAGAATGCCAGCGGTAAGTTGACAAAATTAAATCTTAATTATTTTGTCCCTTCTGTTGTTGTCTCTAGCGATCCATTTTATTCCTTCTGTTTTATTTTATCAGTTCGTTGAAGATTCAAGCACATTCTCTACTATGGGTTGTATCACAGGATCCCCCTGAGATCGCTTCGATTATATTATTCAATCAGGCGCTCATCCATGGCCTCAACAGTGTTTTTTTCTTCCTTGTTCAAATACCAATAATACGTTCCGCAGACACAACATATACCAGGCTATAGTTTAAACGCAGTATATTTTAACGTACCGATATACTCAGTGAGAAGGTTTGGGGGGTTGCAGTAATTTGACAGGGAACGCGGCTTGTATTTTTGTTATTTTATCATTGGTTTGAATATTTGTAACTGATATTAAAAAGTAGAAAAAACACAAGATTATCAAATTATATGCGTGATAAATTTGCCCTCGTATTTTCTCCCAATTGATTTTGCATAATTGATTGGTGAAACGCTTTGCAAGGAAATCTCAGTAGCCGTTAGTAACAAGTCGCATATAATGTATGTTTTTATATGCAGCAAAGATTAACATAAAAACTGCAGTGAAGAAATATAGTATGGGTTGATTTTTCTGGAAATGTTTAGAAGGAAGTCTGACCCTCGGAAACCCCCAAACAAATAATTTTATGACGAAATACTAGGGAAAACTTGACTGGTGAAGTAAAGACTCTGCATGATTTAACTATTGACATCCCAAACTGCAGACTTACAGAAGATCGGACCTTCCCAGTGGGCGTTTAGAGGCAATGCTGAACTTGTAAAAAGCCCATGAGATGACAGCAATCACGGCAGTAGTATGAGCCAAAATAAAAACCTAAGAATAACTTAAGCGTTTGGCAGCTACGGGTTATTAAGTACTTTGTTTTTGTAATTGTGAAAATTCCAAATCCCAGTGTAGATCACAGTTTATTGTGATGTCGTAACACTGACTGTGTGGGTGTGATTGCGCAGGATGAAAACCCCTTAAAAGAAATTGCGGGGACGAATTATCACGCTGAGCGTGTGAAATGTTACTCACAACTTCTTAGCTTAACCTTGCTCACATATTCTGTCTATTCTCCATCTGTTTCACATTCACTTCAAAATGTTGTTATTGCTCCTCTGTACTTAAATATAAAAATAATGTCAGCATGTCAGTCTTTTAGCGTAATGATTTAGCATCTTAGATTTATCACAAAATGTGAAAGTAATACAATGGCTCTTTGCTTTTCTGTTTTTTTTTAATGAATATTACGGGAGATATATGTAAATTATGTACTTTCTTTTGTTAATATAATGTAAACAGATGAAATTGACTAGACCGTGGACTGACTGTTGACTCTTCATTGCTGCTGGACTGTGGTGAAATATGTGACCCCAGCCCTTTTAGACTCATTGAAGGGCGGGGTGCACAGGCCCTAACCTCACACATTAAATAGCAGGGTGACAGGGTCAAGAAAGGAACAACTCCCAGGTCATTAATGTAGTAAATAACCAGTAATTTGACTAACTACTGATGCTCTTAAGGCACTAAAATTCACCTTATTGATCACTAGAGACAGTTCCCCAATATACTGTCAGATAATCACTGCATGTTCTATTAGTGATGGCTGTTTGTGTGAAACAGATGGACCATTGGCTGATTTAAGGCATTTGGATTGCATGGCATGTGACCGACAGCTGACTTTATAGTTTATTAGTGACACGCTGCCGATTGGCTTGCCATGATTCCTCATTCTTGCGGCCCGGTTTCCATATTTGGCACAGTGGCAGAACCCCCCTCCAGCCACACATCAATGAGGTATCACTTCAGGTTTCAGAAAACAGGGTAATGGAGTCTTGTGCCAGCTGTTGATCACATCGCCTCAGACTGTCATGGCCATAGCTTGCCCTGACTTGATAACTACGGGGAAGGGTGGAGATGTTACCTTCCACGAACTCCAAAATGGGGGTGTTTCAGAGAATAGTGGTGGCCCAGTTCAGGCTTGCGCTGTGACAATGGACAGGAGCACAGTGACCAGGGAAGGAAGCGACAAAGCTAAAGGGAGAACCCTCCTCCCCCACTCTTTCCTGGCCTTGGCACAGCTATCAGATAACATGCCGGCAATGTCGCTGCCGCCCGGCTCCAGCATTGGCGTTTTTTTCTTGGGACAATGTTTGTATTCATTTTTGGTGAGGTGGCCCATAAGTGCTTCCACATTGTGATGATCCGGCTAACCACAGTGCCCCCCAGGCAGTGCCCTGAGTGTGTGTTTTAGTGTGCAGTTAATGGGAGAATGTCATCTGTCTCTCCACTGTCCCAGAAATGCTCCCCTGCCGTTATAGTTCTTTTACAGGCTTCAGTTGTTAATTAATTCATATACAGTGATATTGTTTTCTGAGATGTGGAGTCTCATTAGAGCATGATTAATTAAACTTAAATACCACTGGAGGCCTTCAAGGGCACAATTAATAAAATTCTCCATTCATTCATTCATTCATTCGATCATTCATTCATTCATTCATATTCAATTCAAAACTATATTTAAAGAACTATGAATGGAAAAATGTTATAAAATGATCCATCTGGGCTATGAATAAATCAAGAATATTTCATTGTTAAATTTGCAATTATATTTACATGACTGGCATTCTTAGATTGGGCAACATACTATGATTACCAAGGAAAAATGAAACAAGGTTGAGTAAATTAGGAGCGAGCTGTTTGTTTTTAGTGTAATAAAACATTTTTTTATATCCTGTATAATTTAAGTAACAAAGGATTGTAGTGCAGTTTGCTCCCTCTCCTTATATTTTTCATCACTCTTGAGTATGCTTCAAGATATTCATCCAGAAATCATAAAAGAGCTTCTCCATTTAAATATTGCAATTTAAATGACTGTTTCCAAGGTTGTAGGACAGAGTCTGATATTGGAGGGGGGAGGGGGGGCGGTGACACGACTTAATAATTTAAATGCAAAGGTCATTTTTTGGAGGGGGGGTGATGCCAAGTTAACTACTGGGGCTTTTTACATATGTCGCACCATTTTGTCATGCTAATTTCAGCAAGTCCCACAGATATGTAAATTTCAATTGTTAAAAACTGGCACAATTAGGGACATCTTGCCTGTTTCATAATACTGAATCTTTTTTTGCATGTTGTGTTAGGGAGACTGCACATCTGTGCTGCCAAATCGCAGCACCAGTGTCTGGAATAAGTCTCGGCCACACTTCTGTGACATTTTCCATGTTTCTATAAATTCACATGTAAAATATCGTCCAGCAATAGAGGGTGTAACATTGAATCTGCATTGAACTATGCTTATAAGCCACTTAGGCCCGGTCAGGCCAAGGCACCTCCTCATGTGTTACTATAATTATGGGAACGGACTGATGGCCTTTTTGACAAATCCGTGAAATCCTCATGTTCTTTCTTCATCAGTGATCTGTTGTTCGGGTGTGCGGATTTTACCCGAAAGCAGCCTCATTCTCATGTTTTGATGATGAAAGCAAATCCGTGTCATCTGTCAGGATTTGGCAGTGAGCAGTGCTGCGCCCAAACAGCAGTGCGACTCCTGTTTCCCGGGAGGCAAACGATAAAAAGCACAATAACCCACTCAGATGCATGGGATCATCAATTCTTACCTACATTAATGATTCCACGCTCAATTATACATTTTGTTATCATTTTATGGTTTTAAACTGATCCCTTTGTCGACCACGTTTTCTGAATCTGCTAAGGAAACTGTTCATTTTTATTAGAGAACAGGATAGGCGTTAACATTAACATTTCTGCAGGCCTATTTAGTTTATGTTACCTGTGTTCCTTAAACCATTTTTGTCCTAATTAAATCTCAGCTACGCCTATCAGGAAACTTAATCACTGATACCTTGCTTAATGTTTCAAACTGAAAATGTTTCAAGGTCATTGCCCACCCTGCTAATCTATTGGCATTTTTTCCCCCACTGGTTTTTATTACCAATTTCCAGACTCCAGCTGTTGCAGTCATTTGAATGGTGCAACAGATTTATAATTTGATTTTAAAGCAAACATGATTTTTTTTATGTGGTGAGAGTATTATAGACGTATTCATGGTGTTTTCTATCTATTTCCCCATTATTCTGTAAAGAATAACCGGATTGAAACGGGACACTAAATTAATGAGGCAAAAAAATGAAGTCACAGCACAAGGCGATCCGCAATATTGTCTGTATCACCCTGCAATCATAGGCAAACGTTCCTCCCTGCATGCTTAATCTGTTAATCAAAATGTGCTGATTTCTAGAGTGTTGCCACTTCGCCCTTGATCCACAGTACAACCCATGAGTAGATTTTGGGCATCGAATTTGAATTTCTTCCCCCTCCCCATCGGAGTGCCTTATACGGCAATCAGTGTAAAGACAAACATACCTGGAGAGTTGTTTGTTAACGCCTGGTGATAAACGCAACTGTAATTATAAACTCAATTCAGATCGACACGATAAAGTGATTTTGTCACGCATTTATTGTTAGCCTATTATTGGTGCACCCCAGGGTTTTTGGTAGGTGGGTGCGGGTGATCGTTGTCTGGATCCCAATAAGATACACAGCGTCCAAGCTCCTTCAGCTTTAATTGATTCACCTGTGTCTTCAATTATTATTATCAGTGTTATTATTTTCTGTCGGCTTTGGTGCGATTTGTTAAACACGTTTAAAAGTAATCTTTAGGGACAGAATATGTAACACCGATTTACCACGATTTGGGTTTTTGTTTTATTTTTCTCTTCCATGCTGCGCAAATGAGGAATGCCCAGAGTGTTGCCGGCTTTTAAAGAGTGATGTGACGGATCCTCAGGTGTCTTACTTGGATGAGATCTTAGTGGAAACCCGGTGGCCCATGCTAGGAATCTACACTACAGATACAGTAAAGCAGAGGACGAGGATGGTATGCTCTACGATGGGCTGGGATCCCATCATGGGCATCCCCTGCCTCGTGCCCTGTGGCTTCTTATGTAGAGCTCT